TGGAAAACAACGTGCAAGTGGCTGATAAGGAGACTGAACCAGAACCAGAACCACAGAGAGAGGAGTTACTTCAAGCTGCTGAACTTGAAAAACATCTGGTTTCATCATCATTGCAAACAGAGGAACCAGAAAATGTGTTCCCCCYACCTACAAGTGAAGAAAAACTGACCACTTCTTCTTCACCAGAGGAACCAAAACCATCAACTSAGAATGAGAATGTAAAACCTACATCCAAGAAAAAAGAATACAGGATCGGAGACCGCTTTGAAGACCCTGTGAAACGAGAACAGGAGCGTTCAGATTATCGCACAAAGCTACAGAACCTTTGGATGAAGAATAAAAATAAATGGACAGAGAAGAAGAAACAAGAGTGGAAAGAAAACATGAGTCTTGTCCCTGATGATGAATATTTTTATGTGTGGGAGGATTAAAATTGAATGTCTGGGGTTGGGAAATGTTTAGAAATATCCTGATGTGACAACAGATGTCATTTATTCTCTTTATAAAGCTTTCATAAAATTTCTTATAGTTTTGACAAATGTTATATATGTCAAGAGAGGGATTGAAGAAATTTTGTAACTGATTAATTGAATATTAGATTCAGTTTTGTATTTTATACTTTCTGATCATTTCAGCCTGTAAGGTTAAAATAGACCAAGAGTTGGTGTGTGTTATCATGCGTTCTTTCTTTAGTCTAAACAAAAATGAGTGATGTTCTGACGTCTGACGTAAAAGGTAACACCTCCAAGGGTGTAACCAGGAAGAGATGTACATTATAATAAGCTCAATTCATTATTATAGTAGTAAAAAGTTGTCAGTGTTTTGCAGAGTGTCTGCTCAGAGCAGAGCTCTGGTCTGTTTGTTTTGATTCAGCCCAAGGTCTGACTGAGGCCTGTGCTGCTGAGCGCTGAACCTGATTGGAGTCAGAAGATTGAAAATAAAGTTTTAACAAGAAGTCCAGCTGGATTCCTGTTTATTCGGACATACCATTTTGAACAACGCATATTTTTTCCTACAGTGCTATAGTTCATTTTCCATTTTAATGATTAAGTCTTGAGCACTCTTCTTCTAGGGTGTTAGGTATGTTATGTTTATGCTAGCCTGTAGTTGTGTATGGAGGAAAACTCACTGCAAGGCAAATTTGTCCAATGATGTGAAAAAGTAACCTGAACCTGGGAGAGTGGTAGAGCTACTGCTCCTCCACATCGAGAGGAGCCAGCTGAGGTGGTCCATCTGCTAAATATGCCTGAACAAAGGGTATTTGAAGGACAAAGATTTTGATAGAAGCTAAAAAATCGTTATTTAATGCATGATGCCCTTAATGAAATGATCTAAAAGTTAAGCATGCGCAATCATTTTATTTTTAGTTTGGCTGAATATTTTCAGAAAAGTCCTTTGCTTCGTGGTGATTCGTGTCATRAAAATCATGCACCGACTCCCCATCTGGTCTCGTTATAAACCCCAATCACAGCCGAACATGTGACTATAGCTGTCAAACCTCACAGGCCTTGTTTTGAATCCAGCCCGGTGGAGCTGAAAGGTGTGTGAAGACAGAGCAGGCTGTCAGCGTCACGCTCTCTGTGGAGCAGTGTTGTCACWGCGGCCACAAACACCACAGGGAACTAAATGTTCCTCATAAACATCTGCTTAAAAAATACAAGAGAAAAATATCTCCCTGATTATTTGTTCACATAATTAAACTAATTAAGCAACATCACTGTGATAAGATGTGATTAACAAAATAATAGCATTTATTTCAACCAGTGTGCATACATTTTCTTTTTTTAGACGATGAGACAATAGTTTGGTAGAGAAACAGGTTAGGTTGTGGTAGGACCAAATATTACTCATTTACCACATAATAAAAAGTAAAAATCATATCTGATTTCGTTTTACGTCTGAGTTTTTTTCTGTGGCTTATGTTTTATGAGTTTTACACCTCAGATCTTTTCGAAGTGATGAACAATCAGTATCTTAACTGTTGTAAGACGCTCTTTGAACAGCCTCAGTTTGGGGAACATTTGACCACCATCAAAGTGATTTACTCCAATTCCTCCTGATGCATCTCAATAATGCAGGTAGGACAAAAACAATGAGTACAGTAGGTCCTCTGAGAGAGTTATTTTTTGTTGAAACGTTTCTTCTGTCGACCAAAAGACTTTTTCAGTCTGAGGACTTTCAGATGAACACAGCCTTATAAACAGTGCCTCCACTTAGTGGACAGCAGGTTTAATGATGATGACCAAAACTGGTGTTCATGTGCAAAAGAGGACTATCAGCCTGATGATTGTTAGGGCCCTGAATATCCCTGTTGTTACCAGGGGGCTGAGTCATACTTGCAATAACGACATTGTAAGAGGGGAGCAACTGGACATGAAGACCTCCAACCCTGTTTAACAACGGGTGTTGTTTTTTTTCACAAAAATGGCTTCCTTTACTCCTCTTAACAGAGCAATCTTCTCTATCAAGAAGAACATCTTCATCCCTGAAAGAGTGACCGCTGACCTGTAGATGAGTGTAAACTGCAGAGTCCTGGCCTGATGATGTAGCTTGTCTGTGTTGGGACATTCTTTTGAACAGTGGCTGTTTTGTTTCTCCAATGTATAACTGATCACAGTTCTCCTGACACTTCACAGCATATACTATATTACTCTGTTTGTGCCATGGGACTGGATATTTGGGGTGAACCAATCTTTGTCGTAATGTGTTTTGGGGTTTGAAAGCCACTGGGAAATCATGTTTAGAAAATAAACGTCTCAGTTTCTCTGAAACTCACACAACATGCGGAATGACCACCGGCCTGGCTCTGGGTTTGACGTCCTCCTTTTCGCCCTGTGGCTGGCTGGAGTTCTGTTTGGGTTTCTTGTCTGCTTTCAGGAAAGCCCAGTTGGGATAAGCACATCCCAACTGGGCTCAAGAAATGTGTGGGCTGCTGCCAAGACGAGTACAAAGAAGTCTGGATTAGAAATAATGTGTTCTTCCATGTGGGGGATGCAGCTCCCTGGGATAGCACCAGGGTGTGGGGGCTCAGAAAGCTGGAGGGGAGATAGATTTAAAAAAAGCAAATATTGAAAAAAAATTAATCTAATTCAAGTTTTAAATCATTATCATGAAAATTAAATCTGTTTTTCAATCATTTATTTAAAACATAATTCATAATAATACACTGAAATCTTTCACTTTTCTTACAGAACATATTTTGTAGTATTGTTAGTGGGTTAGCGGGGTGGGGGTGGGGGTGGGGCATTTCATAAAGAACTTTAGAAACCCCTGTCCTACACCAAATTTGGTGAGACTACAAGAGAAAATTCAATAATTTTATTGCAGTTCTGTCTCCAACAGGAAGGAGTTTGCAGGAAAAAAAAATCTGCATTTTCAGAAACATATGTTTCAAAGACGTTTCATAAAGCTACACTGAGCTTCACGTTTGTTTTAAAAAAGACTTTGGCGTGATGTTTACCAACTCACATCTGTACCTGCTTATGACACACGCACACAAATAAAAACACCAACGCACAAACCAGTCCCTCTAATTTTCAAATGTTGATCAAAAAAATAAAAAAAAACAACAAACTACAAATATTTGTTTTGTTCATCTAAATAATCTACTTATACTTGGATGACTTTGCTGTCTTGGCTGAGTCGTATCCAAATATGGCACGAAATGACAACTAGAAAGAAACAAATACTAACTTTAGATGGAGAGTGGATGTTTTCATGATGTTACAATGTATAACGGGGGTAAAAACGGAGTCGTTCAGCTCATGTTACACAGCTTCAGCAACAAAAATGAGGCACACTAAACTGATTTGCTTCTTTTTTCAACTTCATTTTTTTCTGCAGTAAACTGTTTTGTAACGTAAAGTTTCTGACTTAAAGTATTGGGGGGGGGGGGGAGTTTGCTTTCAGGATGTATCTGTGAGGACTAGGTTTGATTTAATTCTTACATTTGTCTCATTTGTCTGGTATCTGGGTGAGAGTGTTGTTTTTTAAAGGAGGAGCCCATTTTATGTAATCTGTCTGAAATGTTTTTTTTMTTTGTTTGTTTCCTGCCACAGTCAATTATCCAAGAACATAAATATCTGTGGTAGAAGGTTTGGATCTGTTTTGTTGTGCTGCTTATAAATCTTCACACTGATTCTGAAACTAAATAGATTTTAAGGCGACGTGTTTCCTCTATTTCTCTCAAATTCCTGAGGTCTGCATGAAATTTCTGCAAAATGGTTTTATGTGAAAGTAGAGCTGGATTATAGTAGCAAAGCAAGCAATGCAATATTTTTATTTTTTTATTTTTAAGTGTTGTTTTCATGAACCCAGATGAAATTTTCAAGATTTATTTCAGGTAGCAACAAAGAATGAGCGCCCCCTGGTGGTTTAAAAGTCCCACCTCACCACATTTTTCTGCCTGAAGAACAAAAATTACTTTTGTTGATTCATGTTCTAACCTTTACTTTGTTACTTTGTGTTTATCTTCTTTTTAAACATAAATTTTATTTTTTAAATCAGAACAATCGATGACTGGTACATCTTTAAATCTATATCTATCAGCTAGTCGAGCCTGTCAGAAATCATCTTTATTTCTCCATAGGTTGTACAAAGAGATGCCTGCAACAGGTTAGATGTTAGTTGTTTATAACACCTCTAGAGAACCTCACTTTGAAGCATCTGAACTATAAATCTGATGTAACCCCTTGTACTGTATATTTTTTGACATTCGATTTTAAATTGAATTGACACCTTGTCCTAACCTAAACATATATTTATTTTAATTGTGATATTTTAATGCTGCTTTTCTTTAATTTCCCCCACTTTAATAAAAATCAAGCCTCAACACAAACCAGAGCAAAACATTCCTGACCTCTGATGTTTTTCTTTTTCCTACTTTTTTCTACTTTCTCTCTCTTTTTTTTCTTCTTGCAGCTGAGCCAGCGGGGGGTTTTGGAGGGCTGCAGGAATTTAACGGAAGGGCGGACTCCTGAGGGACTGGGGGGGAGTTTCTTGTCCTTTATCCCACAATCCTTTTAAGTGTTTTGTCTCCTTTTTTCCTCATTATGAACACGATCAGATCACAGCTGCATGCTGCATCTAAACAAAAAGCAACCAAGTCCATTTAGGCAAACCTGCTTCCTGCTTTTGAAAAGACCATTCATTATTTTTTCCCCAGGCTGTCAGAACCTGAGGTCAGAAGTGGTGAAAGCCCACATGAAGGAGGACTCCACAGACAGAAGGATTTCTGCTCCAACAGACGAGTGGATCTGAGGAAAGAGAACATCTGGCTGAGGAATCCTCAGAGGACTGAAGCTGCAGATTAACAAGGTGAGAGAGTTCCTCATCCAGCTGCAGACTTTTAAAGACTTGTTGATGAATTTACATGAAACAACCTGATGCAGTCTGCAAGAGTTTCTATATTTTTGGGTTAATGCTGCTTTATTCTGTGGTCTACATCATTTGTTACATAAGAGCCGGATATTAAAAGAAAGAAGCTGTTATGTAATGAGTTGGGTCAGTAAGTGAGCCATGTAGAACACATGTAGGAGAACACCCGCTGCATGTTTCTGATTAAAAATGAGATCAGAGACAACCGACTGCAGCTATAAACATCCACACAGGCTTAATGAAAAAAACACAATCAGACTCAAAACCAACATTTATCTTTTTTTTTACTCCTGTTAAGAAACAGAACAAAGCGACAAAGTGAAAATCATTTCTGAACGCTCACATCGCTCAGAGCTCCTGGACGTTTACAGTGATTTGGACCTTCTGGTTGTTTGTTTGCACTTTCACACTTGTGTCTCAGATTCTGAGACAACATTCAACATTAGTGATGCTGGGATGCACTGGAACCTCAGAATTTGCTGACCAAACATATTTGGTGCATTGTGAAGGTTTTTGTATTTAAAAAAAAAGTAGAAAACGTTTACACAAAGGCCTGAGAGAAAACCAACTGGTTGTACATTATGTGAAAATACTGTTTCCAGTTTCCAGGTGAGGATGCAGAATAATCAATGTGAAATAAAAGAGATCAGCTCTACTGAAGGAAGGTTCTGAACAATTAATATCTTACCTGCTCTAGATAACTCTTTGAATGACCCCAGTTTYAAGAAACAGTTTCATWTTTTACCTCAGTTCATTCAAACACAGATTTATTGTTTTTACAAGACCGACAGCTCTTCTGAGAATTTAAAACTCCAGCATTTTCTGACTGCACAAGACATGCTACAGCTAACAGCTGCTGTCACCGTCTTGCAAACCCCAGAATCCTTATTTAAATAATTGTGACATAAAAAGGAATTTGAAGGTTTATAAAACAGCYTTTAGATGAACCTGAAAACATGTTTGAAACAATAAGAATACCTTTAATAAATAGTTAATAATAATGATGTTAATTAGTCTGCAAACACTTAATAAACTCTTCATAAGCAGAAACAGTGCATCAGTTAAAAGGACATTATCGCATTCCTGTAATGATGTGTGTCTCTGCTGTCATTTAAGGGACAGTTATGTCAAGTGTCCTCCTCGTCCTCCTGTCCCTCTTCCCCTCGGTGGTCTCAGTGCCCCCTCCCAGTGTCCCCACAGCCACCTGCAGACAATGCTGTGACCACCTMGGTGCGGCAGAGAGCAGCGGAGATCAGCCAAGTCCAGGAGAGTTCAGCAGAGTCCCAGAGATCCGCACCTACATCAATATGACCATACTGAAAGGTAAATAACGCCGACAGGGTTTAAACCAGTGTTTCCCAAAGTTGGGGTCYGGACCCAAAGTGGGGTCCCGAAACATCAAGGTGGGGTCCTGAAAAGATTTTTGGAATTAATTACATTTTTGTCTTAGTTGTTACAAAGGAGTGAGGTTAGTATATTTAAAATGGATGAATGTAGTATAAAAATTATTGTTACTATGCCCATGTTTAGTTGACCTGATACAAATGTTTATCATCCAAAAATATCTGGTGGCACAGGTCTCTGCTACTGTTATTTTGTGGGTCAAAAGCTGAAAAATTTTGGAACCACTGCACTTTGGTTCCCAAAGTTGGGCTTGGGACCCAATTATGGGTCAAGAAGCACCTTGAATAATCTCCAGAAATCAATTTAAAGGGTAATAAAATAATTGCTGATGTAATATTTTCCCTATAACTATTACAAAAAGACACAAAAAAGTATAAATAAGTATTTYTATTTGTGTACAAGCTGTTTAGGTTGTCAAAAAGTCTGTGTTTTTAGGGTTATTAACAAAGTTCGTGTACTCAGACCAGTAATACTGTATTTGGGGTCACAAGTTTTTGCCATGAATATTTTTTGGGTCATAAGTTAAAAAGTTTGGGAACCACTGGTTTAAACAACATGCAGTTTCATAAAGTGGCGATCTACAGACGCTTCGACTGGAATTCAAATAATAAGGATTTAATGAGAGTTTTTATCTGCTCCCACAGATTTGTGTGTGTGTGTCTGTGGAAACTTTGTTTATAAAATGAAGTCATCCAGTTCATCAGACAGCTGAGCCAAAATCCAACACAGTTTATTTTTTTTTCTTTTTGTACAAGTTGTGATAAACATTCTGTTTTGGAGGATATAATTGGCCACAGGAGATCATACTGACCTCGTTAAGCAAAATAACATCTGCTTTGTATTTTGGCTAAATGTCCACGAAGGTCTGAGACCACTGAAACATTTCCTGAACTGTAGGATGTTTGTGGGTTTTTCTTTTTGTAGAAAAGTCTCCCACTGCAGGATTTGTCTGGTCTTGCTGTGGAAGAACTCCACCTCAAAACATCTAAACTTCCTCTTCAGTATTACAAGTAGCAACACAAAATACAWCCCAACTGGTGTACCTGCACTCACCAAGTGAAAACATGGTACATATTGGGTACATCCCTCATACCTACAGGATATGTATCTGGTATTTTTTGCACACTAGCCTAGTAGTTATTTGATACATACCCAGTAGTTACCAGGTYTGACTCATAGCTACACAAATATGTATCTGGTAGGTACACAAAGTATCAGTAGTACAAGGTATGTACCTGGTACTTACCTGGTAGAGAAGGATAAGGAACACACCCTTTAAATACAAGAGAAGTATCCAGTAAGTACAAAGTACATACCAGCTATGTAGCAGGTGAGATTGGTAAAAGACACCTGCCAGATAAAAAGCACGGGTCACTCAAGTAAATAACAGGTGTGTACCTACAGGGTACACATGTAGGTACACACCTCTTATTTACCTGACAGTGCTTACTGGGTATGTCCCTGATACCTGCAGGATATGTATTTGGTACTTTTTGTGTACTAACCTAATAGTTATCTGATACTTACCTGATATATCTACAGGGTACCTGGTATTTACAGGATACAGCTAATTACCAAATAAGTACCAGGTTAGAACCCAGTAAGTACTAGGAACATACTCTGTAAATACAAGGGATGTACCTGGCAAATACTAAGTCCATACTAGCTAAGTAGCAGGTGCATACTCAAGTAAGTATTAAGTGTGTACCCTGGTTCAAGTACCTGGTACCATGTTTTCTTCCAGGTGACAAAGGAGACCGTGGAGACAGAGGGACTCCAGGGAAAGCTGGACAGGAAGGCCCTCCAGGCTCCCAGGGCCCCGAGGGGTCCAAAGGCAGTAAGGGTCAGGCTGGTCTTCCAGGAGACCCCTGTAAAGTCCATCACTCTGCCTTCTCTGTGGCCCGCCGTAAATCCCTCCACAGCAACGATGTCTACCAGGCGCTGATCTTCGACACCGTCTTCGTCAACCTGGARGACCACTTCAACATGTTCGAGGGCAAGTTCCTGTGCCGGATCCCGGGGGTCTACTTCTTCAACGTCAACATTCACACGTGGAACTTCAAGGAGACGTACCTCCACATCATGCAGAACGACACGGAGCGGGCCATCGTGTACGCCCAGCCCAGCGACCGCTCCATCATGCAGAGCCAGAGCCTGATGCTGGAGCTGCAGCTGGACGACCAGGTGTGGGTCCGTCTCTACAAGAGGGAGCGGGAGAACGCCATCTACAGCGACGACTTCGACGTCTACATCACCTTCAACGGATACCTCATCAAAGCCACGGTGGAATGAGAAACAGCACAAAAACAGGAATSAGATTAACCTGACACCCCGTACAGAAGAGGTTTCATCATCAAGTTTCCAATGAAGTGTTTCTGTCTTAAAGACCAAAACTTTGTGAAAGAAATGTTGTGTAGCATATAGTATATATATATATGTGGGCCTTCTTCCCCCTTTACTGTAGGACTAATAAAACTGAAGGAATTTTGAAGGAATGGGAGCCAAAAATCACAATATTTTAATGTTTTGCATTATTAAAAACATAATTATGAGTCTGCTGTGTTAGAAGATTTTTGAAGGACTTTAAATTAGTTTCCAAAAAGATGATCATTTTTTTACCCCAATATGAGAAACGTCTATGTTGGCTTCTGATAACTACAGTACATCAAGATGATGAATAGGGACAAAGAACTTAAGACGGTTGAAATAGGTGAAAAAAATTAACATTTTTAAAATGATCAGTTAAAAAGTGTGGACTGAAGATGAGTGAAAAACATGAATCCTCAAAACCATAATGTTTACGTCTGGCTCCTTGGAACTACATGAAAAATAAAAAATAAATTAAAATAAAAAACAGAGGTTGCTAAAGGCCCTGTCACACTAGACAACTTATGCCAACTTTTGAAACATTTTTTATGTCGAAATTGCTAATAAACGTATATTTGATCAATTTGTTAGAATTGCATTATGTGAACGCCGAAAAAAAGCTTCCTTTTGATTTTTTCAATTCCAACTTCAACATAGACATCTTTAAAATGTTCATAAATTGGCATAAGTTGTTTAAGTGTGACAGGGCCTTTAAGACGTTTGCACAGTTTTGTGTGGCTATTTAATACTTAGAGTAACTGAATGTTCTGTGAAAACTGTGAGTGCTGAATGACTGCAAAAAAAAATCTGAAACTGAACTGAAAGCTAACGTTAAAGGTCAGGTAAGTTGTAGTAAGGAAGCTAAAAATGGCAAAACATTGGCTCAACATAACTGTGCTTCATCCTTTGGGTTTGGGAGATACAGTACTCCTCCCCCCTGCGAAGATATGTAAGACCTAAGAATTACTGACAAGAACCAGTTTAACGTTTAACATGCAAGTTTGGCTGCAGGTAAAAGATTCCCTTAATATATTATACTGAGAAGGKGGTTTGGCTTGGGATTCTTGCACAGTTCCATGTTGAGACTTGTAAGCAGTCAGTGTCATAAAAGCTGGTTGAACAGAAACTAAAAGAAGTAAATCTCATTTACACGTACAATAATATTGACTCTGTATATAATACATACATTCGGTATAATGCAAGTAATAATGTAATGACCTAAGTCAAATTAGATACATTGTATTTTACTCAATGTTGACTAGAGGTTTTGAAGCCAAACCCAAAATTTGTTGTAGTTACTGGTTTTGACCACAGGAGGGCAGTGAAACTTTCCCCACTAAACATTATTACATCAACATTATTATTATTTCCAACTGCCTATAGTAATGTTAGCTGTGTGGGGTTTATTTCACTTCAGGTTGTGCTTCACAGCTCCAGCCAAGACACCTGAGATAACAGCTTCTCTTCCACCTGTTCCCTTCTGTCACCACAGATCACTTGTCTAATCCAGGAACACGGCACAAATATGCAGCATAATTTATGACCATTGAGCTCAAGAGACAGACTAAAAGGATCCCTTCATGCTCCGCAGTCTTTATTACTTTTTGGATGAACACCAACTCATGTCATGACATGAATCTGCAGGATTTACATTTTCTGAGAAAACAAAACAAAAACTCCACAGTCGTGTCGTCAACATGCAGTTTGAACGAGGTCTGAATGTGAAACCTTTGGTGCCGAGAAACAACAAAAATGAACTCATAAGCTTTATTTAAGGCCCTCAGAAACAGAGCTGTCGCTAGTTTAAAGCAACATTTTTTAAAATTTCAATAAATAAACAGTAGTTTTTTTAGAAGCCATTCTATCTTGTATTTTTATTTGTTTGCAATTACAGGCCAAGAAAACAACTCTGACAGTGAATGAGGACAGAAAACAGAAAAAAAACAACTATTTATACAACCAGACTCACAATACGAACACTGTTGAGGTGCTGATTGATCACATCTATACGGCACACAACAATACGACAATCTTTTAGCACAAAATCAAAACACAAATTTTATTGTTTTTCCCTCCACACTGATCCGAAAACTAACATCCAAATAAGGCATAGAGACGACACGTCACAAAATCCTGCGAGGTGGATGGMACAGGTTAAACCCACTGAACACAAAACACAAAGGGCTGATAGGAAACGATAACAGTTCCACTCAAAAGGCTTCAGTTTTCTTTTGGTCCCGGTAAACGCCAACATGAGACAAACATGTCCCAGAATATCAAATATACCGTGCTGTGTTTCATACAGCTTGCACTGTTTTGTAGTTTGAGTAAAAACTAAGTACTACAAAAATACTTTTTTTTGCAGTGTAAACTTTTGCAACCAAAGGCACTATCTTRTCTTCCTGTTTCCCTCCTGTAAATCAGCTCATTGCCTCCTTTAACTTAATCGTCTCAGTTTGCACCAGATTTAAAGATTTTCCWACTATGCTATCATCGAGCCAGCAGAATCACACTCTTTGCTGGCTTGAAGAAAGGATGCTACAAAAACATATTAGTGCACCACGTAAAAAAAAATACAATAAAATAAATAAAAATGCTTGTCGCWTTTTCAGGGGGAGAACAGACATTGCAGATTTCAGTCCAGTGTTCATTACTGCAGTTCTTATGTCCCGGCAGAAAAGATCAAAAACACTGACGGTAACCAAAACTGCCTTTTATATAAAACAACAGAGGCACGCCCGTGCATGTAGAGTTAGTAACCATAAGAATGTTTAATCTTCAGTTTGTTGTCTCAAAACACAAGCTGAGACCAGTTAATCAGGTTTATGAGACTGTCTGCCGCCCACTGGAGCTGCTGTGCTTCTTTACGCCCAGGCTACATCGTGGCCAAATCCAGCAAGCAGCTTTAAAAAAGGTCAGAAAACGAACCAAARACACACTGAACCTGATGCCGAAGAGCTCAACCAAGCATCGGTTTTATGCAACGTAAAGATGGTGTGTTTTGAGGTACAAAAGAGAGAGAAAGTTTCTGCTACGGAGTACGAATTATCACCATAAAAATCCCTTTGCATTGCACTTAAACGAGAATAAATTACTGACAACACAACACCTTGTTGGATTAAATTGTCTAAATCTCCTGAGCTACAGCGCACGTGTAACTAACAAGATACTTCCTGTTAGGAGGTAGACTGATTGATCAGTTAGGCCTAGTTTTGCTCCTTTGAAAACATTTTTTCCCTTCAGTCGAATCTTTGCATATTGAGCCAATTAAAAGACAGACAATGTTGTCACAACTATCACTTTATGTAAAGATGTTCACGTGACGAGGGAGTTTTTTCTRGCACATCATCAGCAGAATCACTGAAAACCGTTAACCAGGAATTTATGCTARTTTTACATTCTGCTATTAATCTTTACTGAGCCTGAAAACAGGGCTGTTCATATTTGTGCCTGCTCAAAATGTGAAGGTTGTGTTGTAATGAACATTTGGTCATTTTTGGGGGTACAGCGGGGGTGACTGCATGCAGACAGGCTTTTAGTTAGAGGGGTATCATTTCAACGCCCTCTTCAGTTTTGCCCCATTTCTGTGTAACGATGCCTTCAGGGTGCCGTGCCGATCTCTGGAAAACAAAAACACACTGTGTTTGCACAGATATTTCTCTGGATCAGTTACATTTGCCCACTGGCTAAAGGCCTCTTCATGCTCCTTTCGAACTGCTGAAATTATTTCTCATTGTTGCAGTTGCGTGACAAAAATCACATCATTTTGTTCGCAGATTCGAGTTTTCTGCCTTTTTTGTCACAATCCTCTGCATTAAAAATAATTATGGAATTGATCGGAAGGTTGTGGGAGTGTTTGTTTACGCTGAAAGTGCTTGGATTATGCATTTTACTTCAACTACTTGCTTCCAAAATTAGACAGTTGTACCTGGAAGCAGGCATTTATAGTCAAATGGCCAAAAACACTTGGATAAGTTTAATACAGACGTTGTGCACMGAGGAACCTAAATGTGGAGTGTTATATACTTTTGTTATATACAGGGTTCCCACATCTTGGTCAACATCAAATTCAAGGACCTTTCAAGGACTTTCCAGTACAAATTTCCTCAAATTCAAGAACCACGCGCAACAAACAATTACCTCCTGCTACCACAGAGTGTTACCAATAAACAGGTTTAATCATATAAATTCTATGAAAAACTGGGACTCAATGAAAGAAAGTGGATTAAATGTWRACCCTACATTCATGTCCACAATACATGAACATGTAATTATGTCCTGGGAGGTTCAGCAGCTCAGTTTGGGAGGAGGGGATGTGAACATGTCCAGATGCTCAGTGAAGGCAGGAGGAGATGTGGTGCTTCACCTGGGCTCAGAAAGAAAGACCCGCCCTACTCTGCTCTGATTGGATAAAACTATGACAATGGCTCACGTTATTTGTTGAAAGTCACGTCAGTTT